AGATGGTGTTGATCGTGATCCACTTTGTGGAGGTGCTGGAGAGGGTGTTGATCCTATCGAGTGATTGGAAACTTCCCATTCCAAAACAGACTTTTGCATAGTTTGCACAGGCGAAGACAATTGAGAAGCTGGCGAACGTGAAGGAATCTTTTCATATGTAATTACATTTGGAGTCGTTAAAGAAACGTTATCCTCATCAAATAAAGTAGTCGACATTGGTGATAGCTCGCTATTTTCATTTAAAACAGATATGAACGACTCTGATTTAATGATTGAATTCCTGTCGGTATCAAATACTAACTTGGGACGCTTCGACACGTTAGTATACGATCTGAAAAGAAAAACCATGTAATGTTAAATAGAATGAAACTAGATAGATTAATATAATAGATCATAGCATAGGGGGACACACATACCGCCTCCTTTTAACGTGTTTTTCTAAAAAAAGCATATTTTCATACAAGAAGAATGTATTTCGACGACTGGCTTCACTACCACTTCTTGTTTCTAATTCCTTTTGTCGTTTTTCTCTGGCAAATTTTTCACGTAGTTTAACCCATTGTGTTTGACACTCTGAAACTATAATATATATGTTTCAAACCATCAAATTATGTGTCATTGATTGTTCCAATCAATCGTATTAATCTTATTAATCTTACCTAACATTTTTATTACTGACGCGATTTCCTTCCACGAATTCTCTTTCATTAGACGATCCTTGAAATTTCTATCTTGATGATCATACAGATGAGGATAACTTCTCACGCAATCGATAAGTAATTCGTCGGTTGATTTAATTGTATCATTGTCATTCATTTCATTGTCGATCATTTCACTTGAATTTTCTTCGCGTCCAGTAAGGAATGAACAGTATCTATTATGATCGATCATTAAAAACAAAATATGTAACTCTACTTAAAAAACTGTATACGTAAACAACGTTTAACGTAAGAATTTTATCCTTACGAAATTTTTCACCGCTACGGCTTCCGTCTTGCGTAGAAAAATGTAGAGGGGAATAGTCGACTCTGATTGGAGGATTTCCTTACGGTTTACGTGTTACGTGTTAAGTAGATTCGTGTGTGAAGGCCTTCACGGCCACGGGCCAAACGCGCCGATCAGCTGGGGCCGCGAACGGCCCCGGAGAGCGACGACCAGGCCCGAGCGCACAACGCGACGTCGAGCCATGCGCAAGCGGCGCGGGCCGCTACGCACGCGCACCCTCGAGCGAGTTAATCAGCCGGAACGATTAGCCCCTATAAAAAGGGGTAACCGAGCTAAAAAGATAACTCCTTTGGAGACGAGCTTCCGAGCACGACACACTCATCCGCAAGTCTCGATACCAGATCCTGTCGCACGCTTCGCAGTGGGAAACCAGCGGTGGAGTGTACTCCGCCACAGTCGAGTATTTTCGACACTGCGCACGCGTGCTCACCTGCACACCGTACCCGGGCACACACGGGGTGGAGCGCTCTCCGCCTCGACCGAGGATTCTCGGGACCGGGTGCACTACTTGACCCGTTATCAGACACGGCTCACAGGGACCAGGAAGCGGAGTACACTCCACTTCCGCCGAGTATTTCTCGGCATCCGCAGTAGCCAGCCGATTCCAGTCACGGCCTCGCGCCGTCCGCGACCGTTCCTGCGCCGTGAACACCCAAGCCTACGCTTCACGAGGCCGACCAGAAATCCGCGTACCGTGTTACCGCACCGTACTGTCATCGTCATTCATTGCATCTCACGCTTCATCACTCATCTCACCGCATCTATTGTAAATACACCATCTCATTCCGCGTCGTTACCTCTCGTCCGTCCGTCCGTCCGTTTCGCGACCGCGTTATTAGATTAGGTTTTGTACAGAAAGTGTATCTACGTCTTCTTTATCAGTGTTAAATATATTTATTTTATGTTCTTTTCACCGTAATTCGTGAGTCGAGTACTTTCACCTAATCCCTCGAACCCTGCCACCGGCGAGCAAAGTCCGCGAGGAAATCTGTATGCGCCTTACCATTTATGTTTCGCGCCGTTGTGTCTGTGCATCGTGCACCCTAGGGCTCGCGCTGTGCCCCTTTGTTAGTTTTTTTGTTTTTGGTTAGTTACCGGCACGCGCGCGACAGCAGCGTCTCTAAGCGTTCGTTTTGTAAGTCAACTAGAGTCGTACGAGTAGCCGAGCCGAACGCAGTGTGTCCACTAGCCGCTGTGTATAGAAATCGTACAATAAGATATTCGCATTGTGTATGGTGAGCGAAATAAAGAGCGTCCACGTACGCACATCAGGCGCCTTCTTAATTTGGCCCCTAACGAAACATGGTCCTTCGAGCCGGATCAGCTAATTGAGTTGATTCCGTGACTTCGTACGCCGCCATACATCTACATCGAGGGCTCGCTGAACGACGAAGACGTCTTCGTCCGCCATTTTGTAAGGGCGATTCTACTCGCACGGCATATTCGCACTGCCGTTCGGAAGTAAAACAGATACTTCCGAGCAACAATCTTGGACTCGAGCGGCACTTCGGCCCACGAACGAGTATCGCCACACGAGGCGCATCACATAACCAAAGGGGTAATTCGGCAGTCGGCCGGATTAGAATTACCACGGAAGAAGCCTAGTTCCACGTGGTCGTGACCGGCACCAGCATCGCATCTTCGGCGTCGAGCGTCTGGTCAACCTCCAGCTTTCGTCGCTTCGTCGAGACAATCCAGCAGCGAGGCGACCCGGGACAGCTTTGCGACAGCAGTTTCGAGCGCAAGTACACGACCGTCGGCAAGACCGTAATTCACGTTAATGTTGTAACGAGCGCGGTAGTCTGATATTGTTCCTAGTAGGCGTGTTAATTGTATCGGTGAACTGTACACGAAATGGCGACTTACACAGCCAGTGAAGCGAAGAACAAACGTAAGGCTATTAAGTCGATGGCCACGCGCATTCGGACATTCCTGGATCAATCGGATCCTACGCAATTGTCGCGATTTGATCTCACGGAACGTGTGAAAAAATTAAACTCGTTGTGGGCTCAATATGACGAAACGCAAACACGCATCGAGATGTTAGACCTTGAGAATCCCGGCGATAAAGAAGAGGCTACTTTGCTTAAACAACATTCGGATGAGCGTTCAAGCTTTGAGATACCGTACTTTAATTTGATCGCGCGTTTCGAGTCAGCTATTCACGATCTCGAAGTTCGCGAGAGTCCGGCGAACGCTGAACCTCAGGATTCCACAACGATACCCCAACGTAATCCTGCATCGAGTCAGCTTCGGTTACCCAAAATTACACTGCCATCTTTTTCAGGAAATTATGAGGACTGGTATACTTTCTATGACACGTTTGATAAGTTGATCCACAAAAACCCCGATCTATCTGGAATCGAGAAATTTCATTTCCTGAGAACATCCCTCAAGGGTGATGCAGCTGGGCTCATAAAATCAATTGAAATTACCACAGAGAATTACGAGGAAGCGTGGGAATTGCTCATTGAAAGGTACGATAATCGTCGTCAAATAGTTGACAGGTATGTTAAATCGCTTTTCGAATTGCCTGCTATGGCAAGGGAAAATTACAAACAACTACGCGCCCTGCTTGATGGCGTTTGTAAACATTTACGCGCTCTTAAAGCTCTTGATCGGCCGGTTGATTCGTGGGACGATCTTATCGTGCATATGGTCCTTTCTAAACTGGATACCACAACCAAGAAGGAATTTGAAACGAGTCGACCTGACTCTTCGTATCCTAAGTTCAAGGAACTTAAGGAGTTCTTGTCGCAAAGATGTTTAGCTTTAGAGTCAATATCAAATAAAGCTAGTCATTCAAACTCGGCTGCCAATAGCAGCATTCAAACTCAGAAGGCAAAACAGAACGTGGCAAACGCAGCCACTACAAATCTCAGTTGTAATTATTGCAAAGAGAGTCATTTCTTATATCAATGTGAAGCATTTAAAAAATTGTCGGTCGATAAGCGTTTCAGGTTCGTCAAGGATTCCCATCTATGCATCAACTGCTTAAGGTCTGGCAAGCATCAAGCCAAAAATTGTCCCTCATCATCTTGTCGTAAATGCCAAGGAGCTCATAACACTCTTCTACATTTTGAAGCTAGTGCATCACGGGATGCTAGTTCTTCGGAAACAACCTCAGACAAAGAAACGACAGTCGCTCCTGTGGTTACACAATGTTCGCTGCAAAATCCCTCAAGGGTGCTCTTGTCCACTGTGGTTGTTCATGTGTGTGATTCAAGGGGCAAGACCATCGCATGTCGAGCTCTATTGGACAGCGGTTCACAACTGAACTTTGTTACCGAAAATTTCGCTAGTAAACTACGATTAAATAAGCAATCGGTAAACCTGCCAATTTCTGGCATTGCACAAGGCAACGTAATGGCGAGACATTCTGCCAACGTAACCATACAGTCTCGATTCAATAGCTATAGGGAACAAATAGATTGCATTATTCTTCCTAAAATCACCCAAAAACTGCCACAAGAGTTTATACAAACGTCGCAATTTAAAATTCCGGCCAACGTCCGACTAGCGGATCCTAATTTTAACATTCCGGGTGATATCGATCTATTGATAGGAGCTGAAGTGTTTTGGCGACTCATTTGCATAGGCCAAATTCGAAGGTGCAGAAGCCACCCTACGCTTCAGAAAACGAAACTTGGGTGGATTCTGTCGGGACAGGTAACGCATTCACGTAGTTCGAGAAAGGAGGCTGCTTGTCATCTCGCGGCTACTGACGATCTCCATGAGACCATTTCCAGGTTTTGGGAAATGGAAAACAATTCCCTTAATAAGACTAATGTACTTTCAACAGAGGAGACCGAATGTGAACGGCATTTTCGGGAGACCACATCGCGCGATAGGGACGGTCGCTTTATCGTTAAACTTCCCATTAAGGAGGACGTAGTTTCGCAATTGGGCGATTCTAAGCGAATTGCTGAGCGGCGTTTCTTCGCGTTAGAGAGGAGGCTATCAAAGCAGCCTGATATTTACGACGAATATCGCAGCTTTATGCATGAATATCGGGAGCTTAATCACATGCTTCCAGTTGAGGATACGTCAAACTTTGTCAATCGCGTTCATTATTATCTTCCGCATCACGCAGTTGTTAAGAACACGAGCACGACCACTAGACTGCGCGTTGTATTTGATGCTTCTTGTAAGACGGAAACGGGACGATCATTAAATGACGCGTTGCTCGTTGGTCCCACAATTCAACAAGACTTGTTCTCGATTTTGGCTCGTTTTCGTGCATTTCGTTTCGCAATGATCGCTGATGTCGCAAAAATGTACAGGCAGGTGCGTATCGATCCCTCCCAACGTTGTCTCCAACGCATTCTTTGGAGGGACGATCCTCGGCAGGAGTTGAAGGTATTTGAACTGGCCACTGTTACCTACGGCACGGCCTCTGCCTCTTTCTTGGCCATACGCTCCATGCAGCAATTGGCACAAGAAGGCGCCGCTTCATATCCCTTAGGGTCGAAGGTAGCGTTAAGGGATTTCTATGTCGACGACATGCTGACTGGTGCTCCCACCTTGAGGGAGGCGCTGGACATAAGAGATCAGATAGTCGGCTTATTAGAAGGTGGAGGTTTCGAATTGAGAAAGTGGTTTTCTAATGATCCGTCATTGGGGGATAGCAATCCTAAGGGCGCCAGGGAAATAGACTCTGGGTCCGATCACAACAGAACTCGCACACTTGGTGTACGCTGGAATTGCCAGCGGAACGTTTTTAGTTTCACAAGCCCCAGTGAACAGTCGTCTTCGACACGCCTGACGAAACGTAACATCCTATCCAGAATCGCTCTGATTTTCGACCCGTTAGGCTTGCTGGGTCCCAGCATTGTAATCGGAAAACTTGTCATGCAGGAGTTGTGGTTGTCAGGAGTTGAATGGGATGAGTCGGTTCCCATGGAGCTTGATTCTAGATGGCGGATGTATGAAGATCAATTGAGGCAGTTAAACAATATAGAAATACCTCGTAAAATCCTGGTTGATGATGCAAACTTCATTGAGCTGCATGGATTCTCGGATGCAAGTCAGCAAGCGTACGGAGCGTGCGTATATCTACGATCTTCTTCCGATCATCGTAACTTTGGTGTTCATTTGATAGCGTCTAAGTCACGTGTAGCCCCGGTTAAGGGTCTTTCGATACCGCGATTAGAGCTCTGCGGTGCACTGTTACTCGCGCAGTTGGTTGATAAACTGAAGAAATGTTTGTGTCTTACAATCGACAATACATATTATTGGACTGATTCTAGCATCGTCATCCATTGGTTACGGGGATCCAGTAGAAACTGGACCACGTTTGTCGCGAATCGCGTTGGAGAAATCCAGACGCTAACATTAATCCAAAATTGGCGCCACGTGTCAAGTAAAGAGAACCCAGCTGATTCACTCTCGAGGGGTGTCATGCCTGGGGAATTGTTGCGAACAGACATTTGGTGGCACGGGCCTAAATGGCTGCAGAGTACTGAGTCCGAATGGCCTGCCTCTTGTGTGAATATTCCGGACGAAATACCGGATAAACGAAAGACAAATACGGCACGTTTTTCTTGTTTAATTGCGGGGAAACCGGAGCTCGACATTTTTGAAAGATACTCTAGTTACGAAAGACTTATACGAGTGTTTGCGTGTTGTTTACGATTTATCAATGCGATCAAGCGAAAAGGGAAGGGAGTCGATTGTAAGCATTCTGATGGTAAGTTAGCAACCTCGGTAGTACCATACTCAGTCGAAGAGTTGGAAAACTCAAAATTAAACCTTGTTAAAATCTTGCAAAGAAGGTACTTTAAGGCAGAGGTTGATGACTTGTCTAAACTCGGTACTATAAAAAAGGGGAGTTCCTTGTTGAAATTAAATCCCTTTTTGGACGAGGGTGGAATCCTGAGAGTTGGTGGCCGCCTGAAGCATGCGAATTTGTCATATGACACGAAACATCCGATCTTGATACCCGGGCGTCATAATTTTACTAGATTACTTGTAATGCACACGCATACACGGTTGTTACATGCAGGAGCTCAGATGACGTTATCGTCCATTCGTCAAACGTTTTGGCCATGCATGGGTCGTAGCATCGTCCGCAACGTCATATCCAAATGTATAGTTTGTTTTCGCAATGCTCCGAGGCTGTCTACTGCGTTAATGGGAAACTTGCCCGAATCTCGCGTTAATACTGTCACAAGGCCGTTTGAAAAATGCGGAGTTGACTATGCGGGTCCAATGTATTATAAGGAAGGACAACGTAAGAATTCGCGTCTAATTAAATGTTTTATAGCGGTATTTGTATGTTTTGCGACTAAGGCTCTGCACATTGAGCTGGTGGGCGATCTTACTACCGACGCGTTTTTAAATGCGCTCAAGCGCTTCATTTCGAGGCGAGGCCGTCCGAGCGACATTTATTCAGACAATGGTTTGAATTTCGTAGGCGCTGAGCGTCAGCTCATGGAATTGTATAAGATCTTTGAGGATGAGAAGTCAAAACAGCGAATAATCGATGTTAGGAACACTGAGCGAATAAGGTGGCATTTCATTCCACCAAGGGCACCGCATATGGGAGGTCTTTGGGAAGCTGGAGTGAAGTCTATCAAATTCCATATCAAACGCATCGTGGGTGAAGCCTCATTACGATATGAGGAATTTTTGACTTTATTGAGCCAAATTGAGGCCATTGTTAATTCGAGGCCGCTTACTTCACTGTCATCAGATCCCAACGATCTCTCTGTCCTCACGCCGGCACACTTCTTAATAGGCGGCCCGCTTACGTCTTATCCGCAGCCTAACTTGGAAGATTGTAACACTAATAGGCTGACGAGATGGCAACGCGTTGAGCAATTGCGCCAACATTTTTGGAAGAGGTGGGCTAAAGAGTACCTCCACACTTGTCAACAACGCACCAAATGGAACACTAACGAAGCGCCTATTAATGTGGGGCAACTCGTAGTAATACGAGAGGACAATCTACCTCCATTGGTCTGGTCTTTAGGACGTATTGTGGAGGTGTTTCCGGGTGACGACGGGATCGTGCGAACGGTATTAGTGCGTACTGCGAAGGGTAGCTACAAGCGCCCTATTACCAAACTCTGTGTTCTTCCGATAGATTAAGTATCGCATAAGGCTGTTAATATTACTATAGTTATGTAAGATCGTTTTTTGTTTTTGTTTCCTTGCGATTAATGTTTAAGTATATATATGTTTGTTGAAAGCATGAGCTTTCAATGCGGGCGGTATGTATGCGCCTTACCATTTATGTTTCGCGCCGTTGTGTCTGTGCATCGTGCACCCTAGGGCTCGCGCTGTGCCCCTTTGTTAGTTTTTTTTGTTTTTGGTTAGTTACCGGCACGCGCGCGACAGCAGCGTCTCTAAGCGTTCGTTTTGTAAGTCAACTAGAGTCGTACGAGTAGCCGAGCCGAACGCAGTGTGTCCACTAGCCGCTGTGTATAGAAATCGTACAATAAGATATTCGCATTGTGTATGGTGAGCGAAATAAAGAGCGTCCACGTACGCACATCAGGCGCCTTCTTAATTTTGGCCCCTAACGAAACAAAATCGATTATGCAATCGTTTCAGTACAATAAAAGAAACATTAAAAAATGGTAAAGTAAAATGTGGAAAATGTTGTCTTAGAGCACCTATAAGACAAACTGTTGCTAAACACTTAAAAACTAAATCTATTGATGTATACCGTGCTGAGAAAGCGAAAGAACTGATGAGCGAGGGAGATCCTGAGCCACCACATTTATACATATAAATCATCAGTTTTACATACAGCTAAAACTGAATTTAATAATGCGCAATATTTAGATTTAAAACCTATAATAGCAATACTTATAATGAAACAGGGAATATTTAAAAATAGTATTCATAACCTTGGATTGGATTCGTGTTTTGTTCACTATTGGACAAATCATCACATACACATTTTTCGCGAGTACTCTACAAAACATCCGAGTTGTATTTGTATAGACGCAACAGGCAGTATAGTCACCAAAGTACAGAAACATGGAAATTACTTGTCAAAACACATTTTCCTTTACCAAATTATTGTCAACTATGATGGAGAACAATTTAGTGTTGCTCAAATGCTGTCCGAAAGCCATCACACGAATATGATACAATTTTGGCTTATGGAATCGCTAAGAAGTGGCGCGCCATATCCAACAGAAGTGGTCATTGACTTCAGCAGAGCACTGTTAACAGCAGTTGTACGATGTTTCACAAGTGTTTCACATGTTATAAAACAGTTGAGGAATATGCAGATGGTTGTAAAGATCAGTTTCTTCCGCGTTGCTACATTAGAATAGATGTAGCACATTTCATTAAACTATACGCCACATTTTTGAAAGGTTTATCCAAACGAATCAAAATTTTTTATCTTGCTACAATAGGATAAGTAATAAAATGTTCTAACATTGCAAAAGTCCGGGAAATTATAAAAGATATTTTAACTATAGCACAAAGTGAAACAGAAGGTGCTTTACCAACTGGGGAAATAACGCAATGTGAAAATGCGAAACTGCGACTAAAAGAAATAATAGGTATGTACATAAAAGATTAATCAAAAAAGATCCCATAAAAATGATTACCACTAAACTTAACGATCTCGTCAAGTCTTGGCATAAGAACGGTCTCATAGAAGATTATGTATACATATAATACTTCGAACTTCATTAACGGTAATCTTCCCAGATGTTACGGGCTGCCAAAGATACATAAAACCGGGTTTCCCCTACGGATCATAGTCTCGGCATTAGGCAGCCCACTATACAACGTGGCCCGATTTTTACACAATATCTTACGAAAGTCAATTCAAAAACCGGTCTCAAATATGAAGGATAGTTGGACCTTCGCGAAAACTATTTACAATATGACAATCGATGGAGTGAGTCCCGATTGCGCACATAACCGATCGGACACAGCAATATTTCCCGATCGGACACAGTCCCGATCGGACACAGCCCCAATCGGACACAGTCCCAATCGGACACAGTCCCGATCAGACACCGTTCCTATCGGACACACTCCCGATCGGACACATTTTGTATCGGACACATATGGTTGCAATCGGACACAGATTCTATCGGACACAGTCCCGATCGGACGCAGGCTCGATCGGACACATTTTGCATCGGACACATTTGGTTGCAATCGGACACAGATTCTATCGGGCACAGTCCCGATCGGACGCAGGCTCCACCGGACACAGGCCCGATCGGACACATTTTGTATCGGGTTTGCGTATTTCTGTAAAGCACAATATTCTTGTGTGCGTATGGATTTACAAATGATGGAAAATTATCTGCTTTACAGAACAGTTAATCCGGGTTAAATATATATAAATATCCGGACCCATCTAGAGTCACAGTTTGCCTTAAATTTCATGTTATAAACACTTGAAAACCCATCTAGAGTGTCCGATCGAGTCCGCGTCCGATCGGGCCTGTGTCCGATGGAGCCTGTATCCGATCGGGACTGTGTCCGATAGAATCTGTGTCCGATTGCAACCATATGTGTCCGATGTAAAATGTGTCCGATCGAGCCTGTGTCCGATCGGGACTGTGTCCGATAGAATCTGTGTCCGATTGCAACCATATGTTTCCGATACAAAATGTGTCCGATCGGGAGTATGTCCGATAGGTACGGTGTCTGATCGGGACTGTGTCCGATTGGGGCTGTGTCCGATCGGGACTGTGTCCGATCGAGAAATATTACCGTGTCCGATCGGTTATGTGCGCAATCGGGACAATCCCCAATCGATGATGATAAGTTGATCGTTTCATTGGATGTCACAGCATTATTTACAAATATACCGAAAGAATTAGTCACTGATGGAATCAAAAAACGATGGCATGACATCTCCAGTCATGCAGCTTTCAGCTTGCCACAGTTTTTATATGCAATCAACTTGGTCTTAAGTTCCACATACTTCAGTTTCAATGGACGGTTTTATGAGCAGATTTCTGGTAGCCCGATGGGATCTCCTCTCTCACCGATTCTAGCGGATATTGTAATGGATGACCTCGAGACTCACTGCTTGCGACTATTGGAATTTGAAGTTCCGGTCTTCGTTAGATATGTAGATGACATATTTGCCATAGTTCCGAAGAGCGGAATCGGTGATATGCTAAATGTATTTAACAATTATCATCCACGGTTAAAATTTACACACGAAACCGAAAGTAACAGCTCCATTGCCTTTCTAAACACGTTGGTCATCAGAGACAATGGTAAATTAGTAACTAATTGGTATCGGAAACCCACATCTTCTGGGAGATACTTGAATTTTTTCTCAAATCACCCTCACAAATACAAAATTAACACGATTATAAATTTGGTTGACCACGCGATTCTGCTCTCGGACAAACAATTTCATCGTTCCAACATAGAAATAGTTGAGTCAATACTAACAAACAACTGCTTCCCCAAAAAGCTAATCAAAAGACACGTAAAAAAGAGACTAAAAGCGCTCAATAGTTGCAACAATGGTTCTGACTCGAACCGCCGAATCCGCCACACTCTTAATAAACACGATTTCGATGTACTATACACGGTCCCAAAAAAACTTGACAGATTTATCAAAAGAAGAAAAGATAAAATAGACAATAACAAAAAAACTGAACTAGTGTATAAGCTTAAATGTGACGATTGCAACGCGGTATATATTGGACAAACAAAACGATATTTAGAAACGCGAGTTAAAGAACATAGAAACGACATTAAAAAACACGAAAGCAATCACTCTGTAGTGAGTAAGCATCGTGTCACACATGATTTCAATTGGACTACTCCTGAAATTCTACACAGAGAACGAAACAAGAGAAAGAGAGAGATTGCTGAAATGTTTCATATAAAAAGACACAAAGAAGCGATTAATTTAAAAAAGGACACTGATAATCTCAACGCTATATATGACAAAATAATTAAATACACCTAGTATGCCGTTGTTGATCTGAAAAATGTTTGTCTCAAATGACATTAGAGTCGCACATCCTAAACCGACCGTTCGTTTAGTCGTCTTTCGCCTTTGAACGGATCGTGATGATCGGAGAAACAGAAAATTTGCAAGTGCTGCGTTCCCTGTACGTGTCTTTTTGCTTGGACAACAATTATGACGAAATGTAACACTAACTGCCTTGCAACACAGTATTACTGTTACACGGATTAGCTAACCAATAACATAAGAAACGTAAGTCTATTGTTTTTTGAAAAACCTGTTAAAATCCACGTTTAAATGCGTTAATTAAATTATTCATAGATTTATGACGTGCCACGACACAGTTCAGTAACAAACGATGTACACACATATAAATTGTTTTAATATTATGACTTAGGTCCGAATTTTCACTTGTTAATCTGTCCTTGGTTCTTCTAAATGAGAACTGTACATTAATGTAATGGATTTATGATTGTAGATTACACTATGCACTAGAAAAGGGCCAAAATCCATGGCCGAAACGTCGTGCTAATTGAAATTTAATAAAGTGGTCAGTCAGGTCAAATTAATTCTCCATTTCGATAAAAGATTTAGTTTAGATTTTGGAAAAATTGGTTCACAACGATTCTACATATATTTCTAATTTTTTTATAAAGTAAAGTTCATTTCGTTACATTACTGACTTTTATTCAACTTTAGCTTCTAATTATAGTTTTACATGAGCCTTTAATTTGAATTTTTAGTATTAAAATAAGTAAAAACTCCCAATTAAAATTTTCTTCTACAGGTTAAGGGCTTGAGGAAGTTTAAATTCTTATGCCTTTAAATTTTAAAGAATTTTTTAATTTTTAATTTATTTTTAATAATATTAACGAACAATTATTGGTAAAATTTTGGAATCTGATATAATAAATATATTATAGTTAAAAAATTTACATAGAGATGAAAAAGTTTCTATTCCTTTACATTATTAACAGGTATTACTTATCAATATGAAGTAGAAAGCATTATCGATAACCATGAAAATATAAAAGAGCAAACTGATACTGATGAGATAACTGAGAATAATTACACGAATTTCCGTAATATGTGGGCAGCATGGGGAGCAGAAATTAATGCAGAAGTAATGGCTTATTCTACTGAATATGGTGACCATGAAAATGCTCATTATTATCCTCAGTTGGCAAAACGCCTGCTTAAAGATATCCAACTTCCACTTTGGTCTTGCGTCAGTAGAAATCAGTTTGGCTATGGTCGAGTGCCTGCTTCTAGTGCACCAGTTGAAGGAGAATTCAATAAAATTAAAAACAATTTATTAAAAACTTCTAAGCAGCACTTAAGGATCGATGAATTTATTGCGATGCATTTAAATTATATTAATGGCAAAATAAAAATTGTTAACGCAGCTCAACATGATGTAACGGAATCTGAAGTTGAAACTAATAATACAGAAGAAAATAATAATACAGAGACAGGAATTAATAATAAAATAATTTTAAGAATTCAAGGTTCAATTAATTCGTCATGTCCAGCTTGCAGCAATGGCGATATACCAACTGGTGCACATCAGTGTGCTACATGTAAAAACGCAGTACATGTACTAAACGAATGTTCATTACCATTTGGTGATTGTTCGTGATCGGGTGAAGAGCTCGCGCCGCTAGTCTCCACCTTCGACGTCGATTGAGAGTGACCGGGAATCGCCCAGCGCTGAGCGTCGAGCTTGCGTAGCGAATCGCCGACAGCGATTCTATAGCGGCGAAAAAAGGAACTGAGCGATTTGTAGAAATCACAAGAGTTTATTTCACACACAGCTTACAAAAACCCAAACGGTTAACTTCGACGGCGAGGCGCTCGGGATTAATCGGAAGCAGTTTATGTACGGAACTCGGAGATCCGCTCGGAGCCCGAACGAGTGACGCGACGGAGATCTTGCCGAGCGTAGATGGCACGCTCACGCGGACGAAAATCTTGAGCGCGGTGTTAAACTCGAACAGGCGCGGGACCGTGTAACTCGTTCCGATTTAATAAGAGCACGCTCGCACTTTGCAACCAGATTGATTCAAGAGATTCGGAGCCAGACTTCTGCCAGCGCAGAATTGATCGGTCTTTTGTAGCCAATCCGCTCACCACTGATTGGTTGCTCGTTTTCGCAAAAGATACTCCCACTCGCCTAAAGATTTTAAGGACAAAGGGACCGGGCGAACCATAACAGCCGCTTAGCCAGTGACCCCGGTCAGCGGAACGACTCTCGGTGTTTTGCCACCGCGATCGAACTTTCCGGAACGATAACGGTGCGAGCCGGAGGTCGACGGTTGACAAAGAGATCGTGGACAGCGAAATGTTGTTACCGAAGATTCGTTCCCGAACGTTCGATTTGAGGCGAAAGTACGGTCACCCGATTGGCATAGCATACGCGGCAGGGCGAATCTTAGACAGTGATGAAGAAGGATATGGCGAACAAAGAATGCAAGAAATGTTTTGTAGAAAAAAATACGCCAGATATATTAGCATCTAACGAAATTGAAAATTGGCGAGGATTGGCACAACCCCCCTCGTGTGGGCCACCTTGTCGTGGTGAGGGGGCTTAAGGCGGGCACTCCGGATGCCTCCGGGGGGCCCGCCGACTAAGAGCCCACATGGCCAATGTATGGCCTGGCCGAATATCGGCCGGGGAGGGTGGGGAAGCGGTGTCCCGCGGACATTCGTCCGGAGGGGCACCGTGGACCCACAGCGTGTCCCCGAGACCATGCCTCATGGTTTCGGGGACGACCTCCGGTGTCCCGCGGACAACTGTCCTTACGGGCACCGGGGGTCGGGGGGGTCCCCCCTTACCGGGGCCGGTGGGGCTTTTCCCGTCGGAGCTCGGGGGGGGACGGGGGGCGGGTTTTCGGTCTCCCCATGCTGGGGGGCCGGGAAGCCGCCCCGCCCGGGTAGACGGGTCACCGGGGCCGCTCGGACATACTCCGAGGCGGGG